TATTAAACTGTATAAAATTTTAGGTTATTTTTAGAAAAATATAACATTTCTAGTTCAATGAGTTTGGTATGAGTATGAGATAACTCACCAGTAAAATTGTTATGAAACAAGCCCAAATATTCAAGATGTTGAAGATGGTACCTGTCAAATCCATTTCAAAAAGGACAAGATTTTCTAGGTAAGAAAATGCAGTCAGGTTAAGATCTGCTAGCCGAGGGTACTGTGGAGTGATTCTTGGAGTATTGATCCAACTGGCTCTTCCAAACTTGTTGCAAGATATCTTTGGCCATTGACAAGGGTCTGAGACATTGTAGGGAGTAATACTAGTAGTATTCCACCAGTTGGTTTGAAGCAAAGCAAGTTTCTCCTCTGCTTTCATCAAGGCAACGGACGCACTAGTAATAGAAGTGTAACGCACTAGTAATAGAAGTGTAACATAATAGTAACGCCACTATCACACCCATCTTTACTTACTTTCTCAGTACAAAGCCAAGTGATCCCCAAATGACCACACCTTTACCTTGCAAGTACTGCTTATGAACTGCGCTCTTTATTAATCACTCTGGTGATGTTCGTGGGGGTCAAAGTCGCTGGATCAAGTCCAATGGGAAATAACGTGAGAGAAGGGCAGAGTTGAATTAAGTATACTGTTATTATTGGTCTATGTCCTTTTAAAGACATTTCCAGACGTGTTCACAGGGACTAGATTTATGCGACACACACTTTGATTGATTCCAACCGTTAAGTTTCAATACCTAAACTTGTAAAACAGGATTTTAAAAACCACCAAAAGTATGCATTGAGGACATAATTTGAAGGATTAAAACATTGCTAATAATAAACGCTGTTTAATTTGAATATTTTGAATAAACTATAAGTACTTATCAGTATACCGTGAAAGATGGAGTAGTAATTTCTTGTTAATTAAGTCACGGCCATAGATTAATGACCAAGAATTTATTTAGGCATTAAATATAAATGACATGCCTCTAAAGATTCAAACCAAGATTCAGAGCTACTCCCTTCGTTTTTATTAATTTGTAAAAGAAACTGCAACTTTTTACTTGTTTTTATATAAATAAAATTACCTATTTTAATAAGCATTTATTACATATTTTTAAATCACCCCTCATAATTTACATTAATAAAAAATAATTAATGTATGCTTATATTAATTAATATATGACATTTTAGTTTAATTTTTTTATTTTTAGACATAATTATTATGATTAATTAATTTTCTTAAATTATGTGATATATTTTTTTATATATATAGAAACGTAAAAAATATATCATTTTTACTGTTATGGTCAATGACTAGAGATTTGTCCAGGCATGTTGAGCGTAGGCTGTGTGTGCTTCAAGGTCATTAAGGCCACTCAAGAAAAAATTTCACTTATATCCTATATAACTAGTCATTTTTTTCATGATAACCAGTAATGATTTTTTTTATTAAGTATTGGTATCAATTAAATATTTTAATTAAAAAAAATTATTTATTGCTTATATCTTAAATAATAAGTCATCATTTCTACACTAAGCATTAATATTTAATTACATCTTTTCATTACAATGTCATTGCACCTATCACTTTCATTCCGAATATCAATATCAATTAATCATTCTCTAATTAGAAGAGTAATATGCCTGTACTTTGTTAAAATATTAAAATATTTTTTTAAATGCATATATTGCTTAGAGAGTATTATTAATAATATCACTAATAGTTATTACTATTAAAAGAAATTATTCAAAATTAAAATTGTTTAAATTTAATTTAAGATCATCCATGTTAGAAAATAAATTAAACAAATTATATATGTTATATATTGAGAGTGAATTGTTAGAATTATTTGATTACAAAATTTAAATATATAGTTTTACGGCTTAAATAGTTAAAAAGTAATATGAAGATAAATAAATGACAATGCATTAAGTTTTTAAAATAATTTGGCGAGACCAAAATTTCTTAACATTGTCCTCGGTCGAGCGGAATGGAATATAATATTAGGTTATACTAGTGACGCTTCATTGACAAGTAGGCAATTTTCATTACCGAACTATAAAATAGGATTTTCAAAACAACTGCCAAAGTATGATAGTAATTTTTTCTTTTCTAATTGTTTGAAAATTGTATAATAAACTGCATTTTTCACAAATCTAATTCCTAAGAAAAAATTTTCTATTCATACAAATAATTAAATTGGCAAAATTTAAGAATGAGTGGGTCAAGATTAAAAGGTGCATTTGATTACAAGTTTATACAAATATTAAGAGGGAGCTTTAAATACATACTCTTTCTAAATATAAGTCATTGTTAATTAATTTATGTTTTTAAAAAAATAAATAAAATCTTGATTTTTTAAAAAAATTTTAAATCTGTTCAATCATATCTTTAAATGTAATAAATATAATACTTAACTTATTTAAAATATCTTGAGGACTAAATCTATGCAAGGGTCAAAGATGTTGTAGGTACTGAAACTACACAAGGGTAATATTTCACTTGGCCTGACTCTGCTTTCATGGCAGCAAATACACCAGTAATAAAAGCGTAGCATAATAGTAAAGCTACTATCACATCCATCTTTACTTATTTTCTCAAGACACAGTGATTCCCAAATGACAACAGCTTAATTATAACCTTGAAAGTATTGCTTGTGCACTGTACTCTTTATTAATCACTCTGGCTCGTCAGCGTCAAAGTCGTTGGAGCAAGTCCAATGGGAGATAACGTGTGAGATGGGCAGAGTTGAAGTATGCTATTATTGGTCTATGTCGGTATGTTCTATTAAAAACTTTTCCAGACATGTTCCTCGAAGTGGATTTGTACCATACAAACTTTTTCGTACTCATTTCCGCTTATGAGGGTCTTCAACTTAGGAATACTAATTAAGCGATTATTTTGTCATATTTATATTGGCTCTTAAAACTCACATGTAAATCCAGATAGGGACGGAGTCAGAAATTTTTACTAGATTGAAATGACAAAATATATATAATAATTAAAAAAATTAAATATATATATATATATATATTATCGACATAATATAAATGTTTCAATATATATATTTACACACAAATATATAACAATATATATATATATATATTTTAAGTTTTGCTTTTTGATTTTTTATGATATAAAATTATTAGTTATTATGTCTACGATAAATATTTTAACAATTTTCTTCTCAATATAAATTATCATTAAATTGTTGAAATTTTTTTTATTTCTATGAGCATTAAATGATTTAAATATGTCATTGAAATCTAAAGTTTTATTCAATATAATAAGCTATATTACTTGCTTATTAAATTTATTATTGAATTTTTTTTAATTGATAATCATAGTAAATAAATATATCAACACATTAATAATACTCAATTGATGTCAATCAGATCTAATTATACTAGAGTAAAAATTATTCATATCATAAATCTCAATATCTTGATTATCTAAAAAAATAATTTTTTTCTAAAAGAACATCTTCACCAAACCTTTTAATTTTTGGATAAATAATTTTATAATAGATATCAACCACATAACATTCAATATATTTTGAAACTTTTGTTACAATGCTTAACAAAATTTGTTAATAATAAGTCTTATAATTTCTTTAATTAAATATAAAATGAAAAAAAATAAAATGATGTCAATACTTTAAGAACATATATAGCATTATCTTGTTAAAAACAAGTAGATCCAATGTCAATCATATCTTCAAACTTTTAAAATAGTTTATCTATACATATGTAAAAGTTTACATATAGAATTGAAATGAAAATTTCATTCAATATTTCTTAATTTTTATAACGTGTTAACTTATGAGAGATGAAAATATATAACTCTTATATTTTATTAATAAAAAATAAAAAAATTAAGAGGAGTCATGGCTCCTTTTGATTTTTCCCTCTCTCATCCCCCTGAATCCAGAGGTCAATTGAAACTAATAAAATTATCTTAATCGTTTGCTAAGGTCTTTCTTAATGGCTAAAAGACTTTGACTCTGCATCCCTTGTCGAATCAGTGTAAATATCAATGAGGAATAAAGCAGTAAGCATTACTTGTTTAGGTCATTTTTGGTTTCTTTTCAAATACCGTTTTTGTTTTTTAAAATAAAAAAATTTAAAAAAGTGTTCCTATAAATGTTTTGAATTTAATTATTTTCAAAGTATTCTTATTTTAAAAACAATAGCAGCGCGGCATAATAGTAAATAATAATGCCAGTCACACCCATCTCTATCTGCACTCAACATTGTGATTCCCAAATGACAAGAGCTTATCACCTTGTAAGTATTACTTACACTGTCTTTATTAATTACTTATCTGGTCTTATTTATAAATTATTTTTAACTTATTTTATCATAATTAAAAAAGCCTTAAAATTTAAGAATTTGTAAACTTTATTTATATTAAATATGCATATTTTAATAATATATTTTTTGAATAGTCATTAATGAAGTCAAATGAAAAAAATTTAGAATTAAATTTTAACAAGGTGATTTATAAATAAAAAAATCTTCTTAATCTACTTTATAATTAAGACCAGAAGGAGCACTCTCGTCAGTGTTGGTGTGGGCAATAAATAATGGACATAATCAAAGGACAGGGTTGAATGGATGTATGCTATTATGGTCTATGTCCTATTAAAGACTTATCCTGGCGTGTTCCCTAGAACTGCGTTTATACTACACACACTTTCATTGACAACTACCGGCGGTAATTTTCAATACCTAACAGGTAATGAAGACTCATGCATTTTGTAGATGGATCAATCTCTTTTTTTAGTTAAAAAAATTAATACTAATCATTAACAAAAATATTTCAACAAACTTATAGTGTTTATATATATAATTTCATTTTATATATATCAATATATATATATATATATATCACTCAAAAGAGTTGAGATTTTTTTTGGACAAATAACAGCTACGTACAAGAAACTAAACACACAGCAACCATCAAATCTGGACTTTAATTTGCGGCTAGCCCTTGAAAGTTTCATTCTAAGGTACAAAGCAATCATAGAGCCAAATCTCCTAGCTTTCTAACTGCCGGGCCAGATTATTTGTAAATCTTGATTCACCAAATGCTGGATTGAGATGTTATTTAAAGGAATAGCTAGTGGTAGCTTGGAAAATAAAAGTCTTTGAGTCACTTGTTGCATTGATGGTCGACATCTGGGAGATGGATTCAAGCATGCTAGTGCTATTGTGACCAAAAGAATCACATCTCTTGCATCTTGTCTTGATGGCAATGGGAGACGTGTGTCCAACACATCTTTTAAAAAAATGCTTTTTGTGCAGGTCTTTGACAGAGATGATATTAAATCTCCAGGATGTTTACCGATAATTGTTTCCAATGTCACCACTCCAAAACTATACACATCACATTTTTCAGTCACAACTAAAGTATATGCAAGCTCTGCAAAGGAAAAAATAGAAAAATTATTATATATGTATTGATTTCTCCCAAGTTAGGTAATTGTGGAAATAGAGCACATCACAACAACATAAGTAGTAAGGTCGAAGAAGCGAACCTGGAGCAACATAACCATAAGTACCAACTAAAAAAGTTTGATTAGATGAATCTGGATCAATGATTCTTGCTGTGCCAAAGTCAGATATAAATGCCTCCATATTTGAGTTCAATAGTACATTACTACTTGTTATGTCTCGATGGATGATTGGAGGAGAACAATCATGATGCATGTAGAATAAGGCATTTGCTACTCCTTTTATGGCATTCACTCTCTTGCTCCAATCCAACCCTTTAGCTTCATCATCATGATTCAAGACATAAAGAAGGCTTCCACTTTCCATGTATTCATAGATGAGAAACATGCATTGATTATGCAAACAGAAACCATAAAGCTTTACAATACTACGATGACGAATTTCAGTTAGCATTTTCACTTCATTGTGGAAGCTCTTTGCAAAAGATGGGTTGTCAGATTCTCTTTTGTGAAGTTTTTTCACTGCTACGATTCTCCCACAAGGAAGTTGTGCCATATAAACGCTTCCATATGCACCAGTTCCAATACAATATTTGATATGAAAGTCCTCTGTTGCTTCAATGATATCTTCATATGCAATTTTACCGTTAAAATTCCATATGGAAAACAAATCCCCTTTTTTTGTTTCTCTTGTCTCCGTTTTGGATTTCTTGTTCTTTTTGAATGACGCAAATATGAGAAAAACCGCAACAAATATGATGACAAGAAAAACTGTCAAAGGAATTATGATTTTCAACATAGACTTTGGACTTTTAGAAGAACCATGGATCATCTCTGGACCAAGTAGCCCTTTATTGCCGTTTAAAATGTCATGTGGAAAAGAGCTATAAACTTCATTAGGAACATAGCCATTGAGAAAATTGTATGACAAGTTGATGGAGAAAAACTCACCAAGTTCTCTAGGTATACTACCAGAGATAATATTGTAGCTCAAATCAATGCTACATAAAGGAGGGTAAGTGCATATTCTAGATGGTAACACTCCATTGATTTTGTTGTGACTAAAGTTACCATTAAAAATAATTTCATCAAGCATATTTTTATGAATATAAGGGACATCCCCTGCAGCAAATAAATTTGAGTACAAAAGTAGGTTAATAATATTTCTCATGAAACCCAAAATTGAAGGGAGTATTTCCTTATTATGAAGAAGAAAAAGGGAATGACTCCATAAGATAGTTTCTAGTGAAATCCCACAATTCTAGAAAATTAAGGCCAATAAATACAGAAGATAACATACCAGTAAGATTGTTGTTAGACAAATCCAGAAAGTTGAAATTTTGAAAAGCTCTAATTTGAGATGAAATGATACTCGACAAATCACATTTTATTAAGTTGCATAAGGTTCTATCTTGTTTCTAGAAAAATACAACTTTTCTAATTCAATGAGTTTGGTGTAAGTACAAGATAACTTACCAGTGAGGTCATTATGAGAAAAGTCTAAATGGTAGAGATAATGAAAAGCTCCTATATGAGAGGAAATGATGCCTGTCAAATCACATTTTATCAAGTTATAGAGATTCTAAGTTGTTTCTAAAAAAATATCTTTTTAATTAATGTGTTTGGTAAGATTAGGATATAACTCACCAGTAAGGTGGTTATTAGACAAGTCCAAATAAGTGAGATTTTGAAGAGCTCCAATTTGAGTTGAAATGCTACCTATCAAATCATATTTTATTAAGTTACAGAAGGTTCTAGCTTGTTTCAGGAAAAATACAACAGTTCTAATTGAATGAGTTTGGTATGAGTACAAGATGACTCACCGGTGAGGTCATTATGAGAAAAGTCCAAATAGTAGAGATAATGAAGAGCTCCTATTTGGGAGGGAATAATGCCTATCAAATCATATTTTATTAAGTTGCACAAGCTTCTAGCTTGTTTCAAGAAAAATACAATAGTCCTAATTGAATGAGTTTGGTATGGGTACGAGATAGCTCACCAGTTAGGTCATTATGAGAAAAGTTCAAATGATAGACATAATAAAGAGCTCCAATTTGAGAGGGAATGATGCCTGTCAAATCACATTTTATCAAGTTGTAGATATTCTAAGTTATTTCTAGAAAAATAACTTTCTAATTAATGCATTTGGTAAGATTATGAGAAAACTCACCAGTAAGATGGTTATTAGACAAGTCTAAATCAATTAGCCTTTGAAGAGCTCCTATTTGAGTTGGAATGGTACCTATCAAATCACATTTTATTAAGTTGCAGAAAATTCTTGCTTGTTTCTAGAAAAATACAACATTTCTAATTCAATGTGTTTGGTATGAGTAGGAGATAACTCATCAGTGAGGTTGTTATGGAAAAAGTTAAAATAGTAGAGATACTGAAGAGCCCTTATTTGAGAGAAAATTGTACCTATTAATTCACATTTTATCAAGCTGTAGAGATTCTAAGTTGTTTCTAAAAAAAATATCTTTTTAATTATTGCATTTGGTAAGATTAGGAGACAACTCACTAGTAAGATGGTTATTAGACAAGTCCAAATCAATTAGATTTTGAAGAGCTCCTATTTGAGTTGGAATGGTACCTATCAAATCACATTTTATTAAGTTGCAGAAGATTCATGCTTGTTTCTAGAAAAATACAACATTTCTAATTCAATGTGTTTGGTATGAGTAGGAGATAACTCATCAGTGAGGTTGTTATGGAAAAAGTTCAAATAGTAGAGATAATGAAGAGCTCCTATTTGAGAGCAAATTGTACCTATTAATTCACATTTTATCAAGTTGTAGAGATTCTAAGTTGTTTCTAGAAAAATATCTTTCTAATTAATGCATTTGGTAAGATTAGGAGACAACTCACCAGTAAGATGGTTATTAGACAAGTCCAAATCAATTAGATTTTGAAGAGCTCCTATTTGAGTTGGAATGGTACCTATCAAATCACATTTTATTAAGTTGCAGAAGATTCTTGCTTGTTTCTAGAAAAATTCAACATTTCTAATTCAATGTGTTTGGTATAAATAGGAGATAACTCATCAGTGAGGTTGTTATGAAAAAATTTCAAATAGTAGAGATACTGAAGAGCTCTTATTTGAGAGCAAATTATACCTATTAATTCACATTTTATCAAGTTGTAGAGATTCTTAGTTGTTTCTAGAAAAATATCTTTCTAATTAATGCATTTGGTAAGATTAAGAGATAACTCACTAGTAAGACGGTTATAAGACAAGTCCAAACGAGTGAGATTTTGAAGAGCTCCTATTTGAGTTGGAATGATACCTATCAAATCACATTTTATTAAGTTGTAGAAGATTTTTGCTTGTTTCTAGAAAAATACAACATTTCTAATTCAATGTGTTTGGTATGAGTAGGAGATAACTCATCAGTGAGGTTGTTATGGTAAAAGTTAAAATAGTAGAGATACTGAAGAGCTCTTATTTGAGAGCAAATTGTACCTATTAATTCACATTTTATCAAGTTGTAGAGATTCTAAGTTGTTTCTAGAAAAATATCTTTCTAATTAATGCATTTGGTAAGATTAGGAGACAACTCACCAGTAAGGAGGTTATTAGACAACTCCAAAGAAGTTAGATTTTGAAGAGCTCCTATTTGAGTTGGAATGGTACCTATTAAATCACATTTTATTAAGTTGCAGAAGATTCACGCTTGTTTCTAGAAAAATACAACATTTCTAATTCAATGTGTTTGGTATGAGTAGGAGATAACTCATCAGTGAGATTATTATGAAAAAAGTTCAAATAATAAAGATACTGAAGAGCTCCTATTTGAGAGCAAATTGCACCTATTAATTCACATTTTATCAAGTTGTTGTGATTTTAAGTTGTTTCTAGAAAAATATCTTTCTAATTAATACATTTGGTAAGATTAAGAGACAACTCACCAGTAAGATGGTTATTTGACAAGTCCAAAGCAATTAGATTTTGAAAAGTTCCTATTTGAGTTGGAATGGTGCCTATCAAATCACATTTTATTAAGTTGCAGAAGATTCTTGCTTGTTTCTAGAAAAATATAATATTTCTAATTCAATGTGTTTGGTATGAGTAGGAGATAACTCATCATTAAGATTATTATAATATAAGTTCAAGGAAATAAGATGTTGAAGAGCTCCAATTTGAATTGTTATGGTACCAGTGAAATTCACACCAAAGAGGACAAGATTTTCTAAATAAGAAAATGCAGTAAAGTTGAGATCTGCTGCTTGAGAGCAAGTTTCTCCTCTGCTTTATCGAGGTAGCAGATGCACTAGTAATAGAAGCATAGCATAATAGTAAAACCAATGTCATTCGCATCTCTACTTCTTTCTCAACACAAAGTGATCCCCAAATGACAACATCTTAATTATCACCTTGCAAGTATTGCTTACTCGATGCGCTCTGTATTGTAGTCACTCTGGTCAGCGTCAAAGTCTGTGGACGGTTGGAGCATAGATGACCAAGAATGGGGTAATTTCATCGCAAGTCACCAGCATATGTTAATGACCACGAAATTATTGAGGCATTAATTAAATTACCTGCCTCTAAAGATTCAAAGGTCTATCATTAGGGTCCATGTCCTACGATAGACTTGTCCAAACATGTTCAGACTCCAGTGGAATGGAATAGTACTAGTTTATAATACTGACACTTCATTGACAGCTAGGTGACTTTCATTAATACCTCAATAAGTTCTTTCTCAATGATTATGTCCACTATTTCCCTTTAGACTAGCTCCAATGACTTTGACATTGACGGACAAGTGCATCACCAACCATCAACTTTTCAAATTATTTCTCAATTGTGTTCAAATTATAAAATTTAAAGTTTCTAATTTCTAGTTGAATAAAACGGATTGGGCATTGCCCTGTTTCTGATTCAAAAAATTAAGTCATTTAATTTGACACAGGTATTTAGTTGGTCAAAAAATTTGACACACGGATTTAGACGTCGACCAAAATGTTTACTATATTCCATAAAAGTCTTCAAAAACTACTTAAAAACCATCAAAAGTCTGCATGGATATAATTTGAAGGATTAAAACATTTCTAATAATAAAAACACTGTTTAATTAGAATATTTTGAATAAACTAAAAGTACTTATCAGTATACTATGAAAGATGGAGTAGTAATTTCTTATTAATGAAGTCACGGCCATAGATTAATGACCAAAAATTCATTCAGCATTAAATATAATTTCATGACTTTGAAGAGCTCTTATTTTAATTGAAATGATACCTATCAAATCACATTTTATTAAGTTACAGAAGATTCTTGCTTGTTTCTAGAAAAATACAATATTTTTAATTTAACGAGTTTGGTATAAGTACGAGATAATTCATCAGTAAGGTTGTTATGAGACAAACCCAAATATTTAAGATGTTGAAGAGCTTCAATTTGAATTGGTATGTTACCTGTCAAACCCATTCTTGAAAGCTCAAGTTCTTCTAAATAAGAAAATGCTGTCAAATTGAGATCTCCTAGTCGAGGGTGCTGTGAAGTGATTTGGAGTGGAGACATCTGAGTAACGCTTCCAAAATCATTGCAAGATATCTCGTCGTGCCAGTAACAAGGGTCTGAGACGTTGTAGGGAGTAATACTAGTATTCCACCACTTGGTTTGAAGCAGAGCACGTTTCTCCTCTGCTTTCATTAAGTTAGCAGATTGACTAGTAATAGAAGCGTAGCATAATAGCAAAGCCACTATCACACCCATCTCTACTTACTTTCTTAACACAAAGTGATCCCCAAACGACAATGTCTTATCACCTTGCAAGTATGGCTTGTTTCTGGGCTAACTTATAATCATGCAAGGCTTGTTTCTAGGCTCTTCATTAATCACTCTGGTCATGTTCGTGTGAGTCAAAGTCGTTGTGGAACAAGTCCAACGGGAAATAACGTGAGACATGGGCAGAGTTGAAGCATGCTATTATTGGTCAATGTCCAGTTAAAGACTTCTCCGGACGTGTCCACTGGAACTAGATTTATACCACTTACTGCACACATTTTCATTCACTAGTATTGCTAATTTTCAATACCTAACTTGTAAAACAGGATTTTGAAAACAACTATTAAAAGCATCATACTAATTTGTTTTTCCCTCATTGTTTTTTTTTTTTAAAAAAATCAAAGGCCGCAAAAAAGATCGTTGTTTTGTTGGTGGGCCTCATCAATAATATTTTTAAAGTTATTATATAATAAGACACTGCATTTGATAAAAATGAACATGTTTTATGTGCCTTTTAATTTGATAGCAAATTGTAAGTTGACATCTTTAAAGATGTTTTACAATCATCATCATCTTCATGCTGTAAAAATTAATTAAAGAAAGTTAAAACAACTGTAAGTATAATGATAGTAATAATTAACTTCAATGACAGTAATCTTGGTCGGTGTCATGATCCACAGCAATGCCCATAAAACATAACGTGTGATATATAAATCTACTCACATTTGGATAGCACTCTCTTATTATGTTAATTATTACTATTATTTTTTTACATTTGTTAAATTTTGCTTAAATCACATAATTACTATACTTTAAAACACTCAGTTTATTGTTAATTAATTTTTATTGAAATATCTATTATCGATATAAAAAAAAGTGAATAATAAACTGCATTATTCACAAATCTCATTCCTTAAAAAATGTTTCTGCTTTAGCATTAGATAGAAAAAAAATTCTATACTTTGATATTCAACAGAACGAAAATAATAATCATGCAAGGCTTGTTTCTGGGCTCTTTATTAATCACTCGGTCATGTTCGTGTGAGTCAAAGTCGTTGTGGAACAAGTGAATGAATAATATAATAAAATGTGACATACTAAAAAAAATACCCATAAAAAAATCTTTTTTTTTTTAGTTTACAAGGACCAAACTTCAAAGATTATTATTTATAAAAAGAAATACAATTGTAGATCTATGTACTGTTGACTGTTTTTCGTTTTTAGTTTCAATATTTATTTTATTATTTCCGTTTAAAACTTTTAATCTCTATAATTTTAAAAATACATATAACAGTTATGAACTGGCATTGACGAAGTTAATTCCACATTAACTCGATAACTCTTTTGCTAACACAATAAAAACATGGCATATAAATAAATTGGCTGGGTATAATTAAAAATAAAAGGTAAGGCAGCCAAAAAAATGCTTCATTGTATATTTACATTAAATAGAATGCAATTGATAAAAGCAAGAGATTAAGTACACATTAACAAAGGAGTTAACAGAATGTCAATAAAATTAACATCATCAGTATCATACCATGGTCCTTATGTGCACTTTCAAATTAAGAGCTACTATTAAATACAGATCAAATTAAAAGAATTGGGAATGATAAAACAAAATTAATGCCTAAAAACAAAATGCATCGGCAAAGTGCAAAATGTAGTTTTGTATTTTACTTTTTCTTAATCTCTTACGCTGTCAGATTATAAATTTTACGGGCAAAAAGGAAAGACTTTAAATTGAGGGTCTATGTTGTTGGTCAAAAAATATTTTTTTGAGGGTTTGTGTTTAAAATTATTTTTATAAAAAAATAATTAAAAAATTAAAAGTAATTTTTGTAATTATGTTTAGTGGCGACAAACCTTCGCTAGCAAAAGTATTTTTATAAAAAAATAATTAAAAAATTTAAAATAATTTATGTAATTATCAAAATTATTTTCATAAAAAATAATTTATGTTATTACTTTAAGTGGTGACAAACAGTCGTCATCAAAAGTATTTTCATAAAAATAATTAAAAAATTAAAAATAATTTATGTAATTGCTTTTCATGGGTGCAATTTGTCACCACCAAAAATATTTTTATAAAAAATAATTAAAAAACTAAAAAATATTTTATAATACTTTTAGTGGCAAAATTTGTTGCCACTAAAGGTATTTATATATAGAATGAAAAATAAATAACATTAGAATGTTAAATTTATATATAAACATTAGAATGTTAAAGTTATATAGATGTTGTAAGATGCAGATAGCATTATAGACTACTTAATTAAACATTTGATACTTGACTTGGTATATAAATGGTGTCTACTTCGTTTGTTGAGCTTTACTTTTCACTATCACAAGATTATCTAAATAAGATGTTTCATATTCGATGGTTATCTAAAATAAGCAATAAATAAAATAGGTCAAGAATACTTGATAGTTTTTTGAATTATAGATGAAATTATGCATACACTACTAGAAAAATTGAATTTAACACTCACTAAATGCCATTTTTTTTAATTAAATTATATTTTAACGAGGGATTTTATCCTTTGCTAAATTCGTAGCTATAAAAAGGTTCGCTAAATTTAGCGAGGGATTGTATATCCCTTGCTAAGTAGCAAGGGATTTAACCCCCTGTTAATTTTAACAAAGGATTGAATTCCTCGCTAAATCCCTTACTAATATTATTTAAAATTTGATAATTTAGTGAGAGACTAATCTCTCACTAATTCCTCCCTAAATATGCCTTTATTTAAAAATAGTAATATCACGTCACCCGCCATGTGTACGTCAACTTGTGATATATCACCAACAACCTCATGCCTCATCAACTGCCACATCACCTATCATCTTGTGCCCCATTACCCGTCACCTGTGCGACAACTCATAACATATTATTGTTCACCTTGTGCCATGTCACTTACTTCTTACCATGTTATATATTCATTATGTTTATGTCAAACCCAAGACTTAAACCTTTGATCTCATACCTTTCAAGCTTTATGCTCTCCTTCTTTACCAATTGAATTGAAAGGCACCTATAGTTATTATATGAGAAATTAAATATATATTATTGAACTATATAAATATATCAAATAATAAAAATACACACATATATACATATTAAATTTTATTTTCAATTATTAATATGTTAAAAATATTTATATTTTATTTAAATTATTCTTTACATTATATTTTTAATAAAATATTATTTTATTAATGAAAATCAACTTAAAATAAAGAATATATTAAAATTAAATAATTTTATTATGAATATTTTAGTTAATTTCTAAATTTAATTTTTATTTTTAAATAAAAATAATTAAACATATAATTAAAAGTCATTATTAAAAGTTAAATTTTTTTTACAGTAATTAGTTAGGGATAGAATTACTCGCTAGTTATCTTATTTTATAGAGGAATTGGCAGTCCTTCATTATTTCCTCACTAATTGTCTTATTTTAGAGAGGGATTGATAGTTCCTTGCTATTTTTCTCACTAATTCTTTTATTTTAGAGAGGGAATAGTAGTCACTCACTATTTTTCTTGCTAATTATCTTGTTTTAGAGAGAGATTGATAGTCCCTCACTATTTTCCTTGCTAATTCTCTTATTTTAAAGAGAGATTGACCGTCCCTCCCTATTTTTCTCACTGACATATAGTACGTCAAGCTACAAAATCAATATCTCTCGTTAATTTCCTCGCTAATTCAGTATTTTAGAGAGAAATAGAAGATCCCTTGCTAATTTGCATTTTTTCAATAGTGATAAATTTATTAAAGTTTGTTTATTGTAAATTGTAAAGTTATTGGAAAGTGTTCTTTATTAACTTTAGATTGACTTTGTTAAAGAGACTTTAATAAAAGTCTAAACTAATTTAGATCGAGTCAAGATAAGATTCCTTCTATTTTAATTATGAAATATCTACTTAGATTTTTAACTTGAAATTTTTTGTGTTTAGCATCTACTAAGAATAATTGTCCAAAATGACTATCAACAAAAATTATATGAGTAAAATAATTTTTTATTACAATGTTTTTAAGATAATTGAAAAATTATAGATAAAATTTATTTTTGATAAAAGAAGGGGAAGCATTTAACTTGGAAGATGAAAGTTTAATAATTTACTTATTAATTTCTGAGAAAAGTATGGAAAAAAATGTAAAAGATATTTAACATAAACTAATATAATACATACTTATAGATAAATTATATACTTAATTTTTTTCATTTAAAAAATAAAAATAAAATTTAAAAATTGATAAAAATGTTTATGAGAAAATTATTTAATATTTAAAAATTATTTCATTTTAAGTTCATTTTCCTAACAAAAATAATATTTTATTAAAAAATATAATATAGATATACACTCATAGAAATTATTTTAACATATTAATAAATGAAATAAAATAAAATATATATGTATATATTTTTAATAATATATTATTTGATATATGTATATGTAGTTAAATAATATGTATTTAATTTCGTATATAATAATTGCAGGTACATTTCAACTCAATTGGCAACAAAGGATGACTTAAAGCTTGGAAGATGGAGGTCAAGGGCTCAAATTTTAGCTTGGGTATATTTTACAATTTCACAATTCACAATGAATATGTGATATGACACGTGGTGGTGATGTGGCGTGACCTGACACAAGTTGTCAAATGACATGGCATGATGTGGAGCACACATGGTGGGGTGACATGGCAGGTGATGTGATATAAGTTGTTAGACGACGTGACACAAGGAGGCGCTAACATGACATGAGATGACTTTTTTACTTTTTTAAAAAAGTTGATTTTTGATAGCGACCAAAGGTTTTTAGCAACGACTTTTTGCCACCAAAGGAAAAGTCTTGTCTCTAATAGTTTTTAACGATGACAAACATGATCGCAACTAAAAATAGACCTTTAGCGGTGACAAAAGGTAAACTTTTAACACAAAAAACTTTTGGCGATGATAATTGTCACATCTAAAGGTTTACTTTAT